GGTTTAGGGTTAAGAATTTGGGGTTGCAGAGTTTAGGGTTTAGGGAGTATGGGTGTTCTTCCGTGGTTCATAGGGCTTTACAAGGCGCTTTATACTGATTTGGTTATGCTCGATAAGGTTTGGGATAGAATGTTTTTTTGAGCTACTTGCAAGACTTTTCCACAAGTTTCCTTAAAGGGTTGTGGGAGTGGTGTTTGTTTTTTGAGCTTTAGGGTTTTCTGCTTCGGATTTTCGGGTTAATTTTGGGATTTATGCGCTAGGCCTGTGGGTTTTTAGTCTTTAGGGTCCGCGGTTGAGGGGCTTAGGGTGGGCTTAGGGTTTAGGGTTTAGGGGGGTTCATGTTTGCATTCATGTTGTCAGTTGTCCAATACCGAAGCTTCAAGCGCTATGCATTTGAGTGTTTCAGCTATTCTGACAGTTTGACGATTTGATTTCCTGGGTTATTCCTGAAAGAAGTTAAACCACAAGAGCAAAGACGCCTTCAAGCAAAATGACACCGTAGCCGTGAATGCACAACCTTTAACCCTGGACCCTCAACCCTAAACAGGGGTCGCAATCATTAGCAATACTTTCCATATGGTTGCCTAAGTCGTTGTAGTACAACATACCCCAAGACCATACTCTAATTATGAAGACCACTGGACTAGGCCATCGAAGCCGCTATTCGAAATTAGACTGAAGGTTTATCAACAACCAGACCAGCTCTGGAAAGGACCAATGCAGGCGTCGGAAGAATTGCCAATAGCATCCAAGAGGGTTCCTTGTTATATATATATATATATGTATATATACATACACATGCAACATATTTATGTATATACAAGGAAACTTATTGTCATATGCACATATGTGTATGTGTATACTCGAAGATGCATATATATATATATACACACATACATACACATGTGTGTATGTATATGTACACACATATGCACATAAGCATCCACGCCTTCGTAAGCCCCGAAACCCTTCATGACAGGTTGCGGATTGGTGGGCAAAGCTCACGGGAGCCGCTGATGCAGAGGCCTCCATGAAGCCATGGGGGTTTTGAATGCGAGGATTTCGCTGATACCTCGCATGTCTATATGCATATATACTTGGAGGTTCATGGGTAGTTTATAGGTGGGGTTATACCCATGGGCCCCAAGTGATGCAGCCTTAAGGCGTAAAGATCAGGATGAGGATTCGGTTGAAAGCTCACCTTGCACTGTTCCAGAGCCAAGGGTTGTTCCATGGTACGGTTGCTGATATAAATCCTGCATTAACCATAAAAAGGAACATACCATAATTGCCATATAGAATAGTGTGCTTCAGGTAATGCAGATTTCTTCCATCTTCAGTAGTTCACCCGTTTTCGATCCCTAAATACCCGGAGAGCAACCCGTGTAATCCGCAGAAACCTTGTAACAACCCTGAACCCGAGGCTGTATGAAGGTACCTATCCAATAGCACAGCTGCCGCAACAACCAGGCTACCAAAGCCTAAGCCTTAGATCGTACAATCTCCGAGCCCACACCCTAAAATTTAGCCCTCTGAACCATGAACTCCCCGACACACCTGTCTCTAAACCCTAAACCCTCAACCCTAAACCCTAAACCCTAAACCCTCAACCCTGATCCCTAAACCCTAAACCCTCAACCCGAAAGCCTAAACCCTAAACCCCTCAACCCTAAACCCTCAACCCCGAACAAGCACTTACAAAAGCAACTTAAGGCCTCACAAGCCCTGCAGGAGGAGGAGGGGGACTCCGATTCCCCGACTTCGGTGGCAGCGCAGCCGCGGGGCGCTGAGGATTTCGGGCTTCCAGGATTTAGGGTTTAGGGGTTTAGGGTTTAGGGTTTAGGGGTTTAGGGCTGAGGGGTTTAGGGGTTTAGGGGTTGAGGGGTTGAGGGGTTGAAGGGCTTAGGAGTTGGGGTTAAGGGGTTCGGGTAGTCATTAGGGTTTAGGATGTCGGATGTAGGGTTTTAGGATTTGCGGTTTAGGATTTCAGGATGTGCGATTTTAGGATACAGGTTTCGGATTTTCTATGTTTCGCCTGGGTTTGTTCTGGGTTCGGGGTGGTGTCTGTGGGGTTTCTGGCCGGTGGCTTGCTGGGAGGGCCCGCACTTTTTTTTTTCCTAGCGTTGGCGGTCCCCGGCGGCGGCCCTTGGTAACGTTGGCGGTGAGCCACAAGCAACGTATACCGTAGGCTTGCCGTCGATTGCTTCTGAATCCCGCCAGTACTTGGGACTAAGCAGCCTGGGCGTGGTTCAGAACGCATTACGGTGGGTCCTGGATCTCCTCGATTGGTTCTGAAGCGATCCCGCCAGTACTTGGGCGCATCTGTTCTTTTGCTGTCAAAGTATTGCCTCATTCAGAACCACACTCAAAATGCTTTGCCCCCTGCAGCGGCAGGGAAACAAGCAAACGCGCCCCGGAAACGATCCCAAAAACTAGTTTAAAGCTTTCTGTAATTATATAGATACGATATCGTATATGCTATCTTTATATCATCTACAGA